ATCACGAATGTATCGCGGTCTTAAAGGTAACGTCTGCAGGTCATTCTTGAAAGTGTTCTCCTGCGGCGCGAAAAAAATATGCGGGACGCCGATGGTAACCGGATTGTCGAGTTACCTGCTAAAGAGGTGTGTTGAACCATTCATTTCAGCAATAGTTGGTGCTGATCGCGAGTTTTCAGGTCACCATCGAGAATCTTGAATTCTCCTCCTTGGAGCGCAAGATCTACGATGCGATTTATCGCGACGCAAAGCTCAACTTCGAACAGCTGAGCGAGAAAGGCCTCGTCAGCAAGAACTATACTCACATCCTTGCCATGCTTATGCGGTAGGTGATGTCGGCAGTATTCTTGCTCATTTGCTGATATCCGTTGCAGTCTCCGCCGTGCCGTGCTTCATCCTAGCCTGGTCCTGACTGCCGACGAAACCACCCCCCAATCGAAAAGCGACGGGAAAATCGATGTCAACGCGATGATCAACGAATTTACGAACGCAGAAGGCGGTAAACCTACACCTACAGTGTTCGCTGAAAATGCTTTGACCAATCTGGGCGAGGAAGTGGAGTGCCCCATCTGTCTTGATGTTGCGGAGGCGGCCATGATCATTCCTGGCTGTATGCACCGATGGTATTTATCTGTCTAATATGATTTTATCTCCCGCTGATTCAAGCGAAACAGCTGCAAAGACTGTATAGTGGCGTACATTGAAAATCGTCGGGAACGCGGAGAAGAATGCCGCTGCCCGACGTGTGGGAATGGTCCGGTCAAGGTACGTAGGTTTGTGGTGGGACATGATGGATGCTGAATCTGTCTTAGGAGAATGAGTTGATGGAAGTAATGCGTCCTAAGAAACAAGAGGACGCGTCGAATTCCCAGCCAAAATTCACGTTGAGGCGAAACGATTTCCAGTCGTCGACAAAATTGGAGGCATTGGTTCAAAATCTGCGTATGGAGTCATTCCGCTACTAGGACGACAAACACTGACTTTCGATAAACAGGGCGACTGCAGGATCAGGACCCTTGCTTCCGGGCCGTAATATTTTCTCAGTTTACCAGTTTCCTCGACTTGATCGAGGTCGTGTTGACTCGGGAGAACCTCGCGTGGTACAGATTCGACGGATCTATGGACATGAAGAAGCGCAATGCGGCTGTGAATGAGTTCCGGGATCCTTCCAGGAAACCCAAGGTGCTCATTATCAGTCTCAAAGCTGGCGGTGTCGGGCTAAACGTTGGTATCTTCGTTCGTATGCAAGGTAGTCTCCGCTGACTTTTCTATCTCGTAGTTAACAACTGCCAATCATGTCTTCATGGTAAGGCACGCTCCAAGATTGACGAGTTGCTTATGAAAATGCTGAGGCCGTTTGCGATAGATGGACTGCTGGTGGAATGCTGCCACCGAGAATCAGGGTAAGGTCAATCTCTATTAATGTAATTCCCGAGCTGAGAGTCTTTCTTTAGCGATCGATCGTGTCCACAGAATAGGGCAAGAGAAGACTGTCTATGTTAAGCACTTTGTGGTATGCCTCTATCGACCAACCGGCGTGTTTTCTATGTTCACCTTGTCTCAGGTCGATAACACGATTGAGCGGAGGATCCTGCAAATACAGGCTCGGAAGACTGCTATAGTGAAGGAGGCGTTCCGCGGCAAAGGCGCCAACGGGGAAGATTCGGAAAGCCTGGAGAACTTGAAGATCATGTTCGGAGACGACTAGGCGGTCGCTGATACAAGGTACATGAGTGATTTTGAGTATGCGCGCCCAGACTGACTAGATGCATATGGTGTTTAAAAGCAGCCACATGAGAGAGGTTATAGACTCGGACAAGCTGCCCATGTACATAACGCCCGTCAGCCGCGGCCGGCGTAGTGTGCGTCGATAACTCCGAGGCAAACATTTTATAGATATCGCAATGACGCCACGCTGGCAGCCAATTCTGCTTTGAAGCACTCTGAACTTTTGTTGGCAGGAATGCTGGCCGCGATGCAGCGTAGTACTCGACCCAAGACACAGTGTCGTCGGGAATGGCGGGCCGGCCATGCTTGTGCATTTTCGAAGCTTTTGCCAAACAACGCCAGCAATATTAATTCATGCACATATATATTGCTTGCAAGTATTCTCTCGTCCTCGTCTTCAAAGTATAGCATTCACTTATCCTGGTCGAGAGGCTGCAGCTTGCTGCGGCCTTCAATGCTGCGGCTCTGCAGTCTTGATAATCACCGATCGGGCCGAGACTCGGTTGTCCTCGGCCGGCCGACATATGCTGCGGACGCCACTCTTATCAGATAAAAATACCACAGCGACTTGAACATGCGCAACGCCTTGCGATAACTTGCCACCACTTTGACTGCGACCCTCATCTTGTAGTTGGTCCAGCTCAGCGCTGCCATGCGCACCTTTCTCCTCTTTGCTATCAGCGCCTTTAGCTACGTCTCTGCCAGCGCATCGCCCCAGACAGTCCTATCGGTGGATTCTACAGCCTGTTGCATAAGTCCGTGAAAGCACAAACTTTTATTTTCGCCAGAGTGTGACCAGACAAGATCCGTCCCACGGCGACAGTAGGTAGCAACGGACACCAAAAATAGGCCCGGATGCTCGAGCTCGTTGCCTCTCGCGATGGGGTCGCCCATTTGCTCACTGTGCGCTCCGCCCCCGACGACAATAAAGCCCTATTTTTGATGCACTGCTAGTTTACCATAACTGGGAAGTACATGGGACTCCTCTTCCAAAGACTTAACATTGAGGGTACACTCCGTGCTACTAACGGCGACGTTTAAGGTGGCGCGCTCATCGTTTGCGACAGCGAGCTCAGGGTGCTGAGCGGCGGCGACGCGCCCTTCTCGGAAGGGCTCTAGCAACGGTTGAGCATCGGCATTTCTTGCCGGCGTGACAGGAGTCACAGATCTCCCGAGAATAAAAGTTGACGCTTTCACGGACTTATGCAACAGGCTGTAATAATGACCAGGCGAATAACTCGAATTTGATTTTCGCGTCTTTGCACTCCTTACTACGGTCCTGGTCCCAAGCGTTCGCCGACAAGGGCCATGCCGTCGTTCCAGCGACCATACCCACTGGCACATTGATGTACCACGTCTGGGGCTCGGGCACACCGCCCGTTGGAATGGAGTGGTTTGCGTGCGTGTCAACTTCTCGTATCATCCCCATCTCCCCTCGCTTACGCACAGGATAGCATGGACGCCGAACATAGCTACATGTTTGGAGGTCACGGATCGGGCGTCGCGTGCGTTTCTGCTATCTCGTCCATTTCCACCCTGCGCTAATTCGTACACCGCAGCACTCAGTGGACCTACATAGCTACACGCCCGCTGCGCGTCCTCTACTTTGATGGTTTCTCCGCGCAAAAGGGCGGAAATGGGTACCTTGACGCACAGGACATCCTTGCCTTTGGCGCCCCCGATGGCGCCCCAGACGGGTTCTCTGAGTACGAACGTGGCAAGGGTCTGTGCGAATGGGGCGAGGAGTTCGGCATCGAGGGGTTCATACGTGAGGAGGCCACGTTTGAGGTCATATGGTGCGACTTCCAGAACGGCGTGAGGCTCGTGGACGCGACGAATGTCTCTGGTGAGACCGGACCGCAGGACAGCCCTGGCCCACCTCCACTATGGCAAGAAAGCACCCCGCCGGCATCTCCCTCTAGTCGTCCTGGACGTGGTCCCGGAGGTCCCGGAGGCCCAGGTGGCCCCGGCGGAGGAGGACGTCGTGGCCCTCCTAGACCCAGTAACGAATACCACGATCAAGGAATGTGGTCCATGTACCGCGCCGCTAGCTGGCACAGCACGGTTCCGGAAATCCGCATTAAACCGGAACCCGCTCACCTCGTCTCGCTCTACTCACCCGCGTACCGCTCTCTCGCCGCGAACACGGCACTCCCGCGCCGCATGCACAACCTCACGGACATCTCGCCGGAGGACATGGCAGCGTGGCGCGCCGAGCTTTCACAGGCGCTCGGCGATTGGCGCGCGGGCCGGAGCAGCGGGGTGGACTGGAGTGCTATTGCTCAGGCGGTGGTCGACCGCAATGGCGACCGTCTCGCAGAAATGCGAGAGGTACTTGCGGCGGAGGGGACCGCGTCGGTCCCGGTGAACGAGACGGCGGTGCTCGCGCGCGCACGGCTGGTGGCGTTTGCGCTAGTCATGCCGTATGTTGATGCACCCATGGTGCTGACCGCGTCCCGCACGCCCGCCGCGCTCGCCCGTGTCGTGAGCAAGTGCACGCGGGCCTTTACAGGTCATCTCGATGGATTAACCCTGACGCCGCAGGAGCAGGGCCTGCGGGACGCAGTCGAGGGTGTTCTAGATAGAATATGTAGCTTCTCCACGGGCACGCTGGGGGAGGCGCTTGATTTCCTGAGCAAGGACGACGGTGACGCGACAGTCCTCTTGAGCCGGTGGCGTGCGGATCTGGACGACTTGATGGAGTGGCTCGGGTGGGCCATGTGGGAGCGCTGTTCCCCTGCATGTGCATGGAATGTAAGGTTTTTCTAGCTTCACTGCGAAAGTATCGCCTGACCCTTGTTCATCTACGCAGGAGCAATGCTTCGTTCCGATGTGGCCTATTGGCAGGCGCAGGCGCAGGGACACGCCAGGACCTCCTGACACGAGCGACGATGAGCCACTCGTTCCTCGTTGCATGAGCATGGATCAGTTTTTATTCGAGTTTTGAGGCCTTGTGCGTTTATGATAGATACCTACGTTGTGCCGATGGAGCATCCGACTGTATTATGATATCCGAGACTGCAATCACGTTCGATGCTTTCTGCTGGGTCTCCAGTGCATTCCTCGGTCCATTTTTCAGACTTGCAGACAGCAGCGTTCACAATGACTCTGAGAGTCGCGAGTTGTAGCCCCTATCAAAATTCAAACCCAGCTGCGCGATCACTACCTTCCTTATAAGGCAATATCTTTTGCGGCGTACGTCCCCGCTGTCCTCAAATCAAAGATTACGGCCTCAATTTTGATCTGTTTCACTTCATTCCTCGACAAAAATCTGATGAGAGTGGGATTCGAACCCACGCCCTTGTCGGACCAGATGACTAAGCATGATTACGTGCTTGTCAGGTGCGTTCCATTGGAACTGATCCTTAGTCTGGCGCCTTAGACCGCTCGGCCATCTCACCATGTATAATGAATTTTTAACGTTCATTAGAATTTACGCAGGCATCGAAATCACTCTGTACTACTCGGGGGGCTGAAGGGGCCGCTGCCTCAGCCTGCCTGACGCTCCTCTGAGTCTCTAGTCAGATAAAGGATATCCGAACTTGTATTGTCACGGTAAAGTTGAGGGAATCATTTCTCTCATCAACAAAGGAGATTGAGTCTCTGACGCATTTTTGAATTCTGATGACCATCACTGGCAACGGACACGTGGGGGGGGGGGGGGCTTGCCAATAATTCATATCGTTAGGTTCCGTCACAAGGAGCCAAATTCAATGGTAAGTACTACATGTTGGTCAGCATCCGTAGCTTCAACTTCACCTCCAGATCGAAGATGAATTCGAGCCCAAATGCCATGCTGAAACAATAGCCGTTTGCTTGCTTCTTCGTCGGGTTTAACTGAATCTGCGATCTTCAGCACTTCAACGAGGATGAAACCAGGCAAGCACGTTGTTCAAGAAATATCAAGTTTAACAGTCCGTATTTGCAACCCAACCTTGCCACTCGTACATTTGTGTCGTTCTGAGTAATTAGTACATATCAAGCAACTGTAAGCACGAGCTTCGCCCGACTGCCTCCACCCTCTTTCAAAAGCGCCAACGCATCCTTAATTCCCTCAAGACCCCCTGGCAGCTTCTTGATCTCCTGCGGCTTCACTATCCCTTTCGCTATGGCCTGTTCACCCAGCAAGGTGAAGTCTGCGTGAAACTTCGCCCGCACGGGGTCCGCAGGATAGTGCGTGCCGTAGAAATCCAGCGCCCGTCCGAGCGCCACGTATCCCAAAGGAGTGGTCGTAGTGATATCGGTCGGGATGTCAGACTTGGGAATATAGAGGACGAGCGTGACTTTGGTCTCGGGGCTACGAGTGACACTTGAAAAGACGATATTAAGCGAGCTGCCCTCCGAGATTCCGTCGTGTGCAAGCTGGAATTATACGTCGTTAGCCGGATACTACACGAAAATGCGAGAGGAAACACCAACCTTGAGCTCGCGGCCACTGAGTGCGGATTTGATGCCTGCAATGCACTTGTCTGCGTCGTGGTAGTCGATGACATGGTCTGCACCGAGTTTCGTGAGATACTCTCGGTTCTTCTCGCTCGCCGTCGTGATAACCTCGAAACCCAGTGCCTTGGCAAACTGGATGAACGCCTGGGAGACAGACGTCGCGCCGCCGTAGATCAGAATCTATACTGCGTGGTTAGTGCTACCTCATCAAGGGATAAGGGGCTGTGCGTACCGGCTCCCCACGTCTGACGGGCTCGAGCGACACCGGAATGCCAAGGTCATGGAAGGCAAGGCCTGTCGTCACGAATGCGACTGGTAGACTCGCGCCGTCCTCGAACGACATGTCGGCGGGCAGCTTGAAGGCAGCGTGTTCTTCGACGGCGGCATACTCTGCAAACGCACCGGACGTCGGGATCAGCTTCGAGGATCCGTGCACGAGCGCTGCGACGCGGTCCCCAGGCACAAAACGCGAGTTCGGTCCAACTTTCTCAACGGTGCCTGCGAGGTCGCAGCCGACGGTAGAGCCGGGGCCTCCGCCGAGCTCCTATATGATTATGGTGAGCTGGCGAACATCGTAATCATATAAACAGAAGTGGCGCACAAATTCAACATGTTTCCTGCGACAGAGCTGTCAAGACAAGGATCTCTGGTGGAAGGTGAACATAGGCTTACCAGTCGGTGGGGTTGATAGCAACAGCCGCGACTTTAACGAGGATTTGAGAGTCAAGGAGCGTCGGAATGGGGACTTGCTCTACGGCAACGGTCTTTCCTGGTTGGATCTTGACGGCTTTCATGATTGAGAGATGGTATTGGGCGAGTGAAATGTTGATACTATAGAAAAAACATAGTGTCACGGTAGACGGTCTTTATAGATAACTTGACGATCTATCATTGACGCCAAATCATTGTCAGCGTCATGTTCAAAGTATACAGCAAGTGCCAGGAATTGTCAGGAAGTGAGTAATCGCTACATAGGCCAAAGTTTGGCAGCCTTTGACGACCGCGGTCAGCGCTAGTCAGCGCCCAGCCAAGCTCAGGCAGAATTTCCGGCAACCCCTTGGCCTTGACGGTCAGGACTGGCCCTGGGGGAAATGGCTCATCGTCGCGGGGTTTCAATCTTCAAGGTTAATTCCGTCGCGGTTAGTTTCTGAACCTACCAGCAGCGTCTCAACCAGAGCAGTGCAATATGCAAACATACAAGTTACAACATCTGGTTTCCATAAAACAATCAATAACAATGACAGGTACAACAGTCTTCTGATTTCTTCTTTCCTGAGCGTTTCTTCTCTGCTTCACTGTTCTTCTAATCGTCTCTTACGACCCGTGTGTTCTGCGAAGCTCCAGTCAGCAAGATGAACCAGAAAGCCGCCTCTAAAATCGAAACGTACCGGACTTTCGAGCCCGTCCAATCCAGCAGCAACGCGAGTGCCTGCTACGATCGCACTCCAGTCAAGGGTGTCGTATTTCTGCGTCCCTGCACGGACTTGCGATTGGTGCAGTGCACGAGCAGTTAGCAAGTGCTGATGAGCATTGTCGATCGTCGGCATCGGCGAGTTGTGGTGGGTAGTAAGGTTACGGATGTGCCTACACGACATAGGGGTTGAGCACAAGAGACTGCCACGGCTGCAGAGGTACATACGACGCATCCTTGATTCCTCCGTCAATGGCGAAGCCCTTGCTGCCGTCGAAAGCATCGTTTACCATCTTGTCCCCGTATGCGACGAGTCTACGAAGATGCACTGTGCTCAACACTCAGTAGCAGGGAGATGATCTGCGCAACGTACGGTGGGGCAGGTAGCAGATCTAACGAGTAGCGTGCATCATTAGACGAATCGTACTTAAGGGTCAAGAAGGAAGGACACTGACCCTTCACCAAGTTGTTGATATTGGCTGCGTCAATTCCAGACTTGTCCGCCAGAGTAAAGGCTTCGGCGAGAACCTCTAGAGAGCCTAAGATCATGGAGTTTCCAATCAACTTGAACGTCGGTGCTACAATCGATTTAGCACGGGCGCTCGAGAAAGCAAAAACAGCGAATGTACCCTTTTCGAGATTTCCTCCGAGGTCCACGATCTTGCGACCGACAGCAGGCACAAGAATATATGCGAGTTCTTTCTTCGAGCGATAGTCCCCGGACATTATGATAATTAGTTGCGCAGCATCGGCAGCAGTTGGCGCGCCGAAAACGGGAGACGTGATGAGGTGTGAATGAACATGCGACGTTATGAGTTGATCGATTTCGCCTGAGACATGTAATGCGTGAGTACAGGATTAAGTATCTTTGCATAAGATATATTACCTGCAACGGTAGGGTAGATCTACCCAACCCTGATGTTCAGCCGAAGAATACGTGAATCACAGCAATCTTCGCACCGTGCTGGTCTCGACAAAAATCTTGTTCTTCGTAGGCGGTGAGTGCTTGTAGTACATCGCTCGCGTTAATGACACCGGCTTCCGTATATAACCACAGCGTAGCTCACCGACAGTGCCGCAGAATACTCGGCGTACGTCGCCCTCACCACATCGTCGTTGGCGAGGTTGGTAATTATCACGTCGCATTCTGTCGCCACTTGGCCTAGACTACTCGCTACGCGTACCCTGTTGTCACCGACCTCCTGGCGAAGCTTCTCGCTCTTTGCCACTGTGCGATTGTAAACTAGGAGCGCGGGCAAGCCTGCATTTCCCTGCCGGTTTGCAAGGTTGCGGGCCATGACTAGGGGACAATCACAAAGATCAGTTCCCGAAGGGTCGGCCGTTAAGCTAGCTGCGCACAGTAACCCATGGCACCGAGCCCGACGAAACCTATCTGAGTGGCATGGACACCACCAGGTGTCGAGGGCCGAGAGAATGCGGGGGAGTGCACAGTATGCACCGCTGTGGGGCTTTTGAGCAGAGAGGACATGGCCGTTCGAGTTCAAGGAGTGTTTCTCAAGTGTTTCTCCGGTTGGGCCAAGATTGGGTCCAGTCCAAGGCAAGGTCGCTTTCGGCGATTGACCTAGATTGCAGTCGGAGATCGGATGCCACGTGCTAGCGCTGCCCGTAACTGTGCTGTTCGCGAAACCGTCTATCTCGAATACTCTTCAGCAACCGTCTCGCGGCCCTGGAATGGCTCATCAACAGCCGTACCAGGCCTATCCAACTAACAAGGGGACGCTAATTCCAGGTCAAACTATCTCTGTAAATCAATATGAGGTTCAGGTCGAGCGATATCTCTCTCAAGGTTCGTGCAGTTCGTCGCGCTGTCCATTATACCTGCTTTGAACTGGTCGCGTTCCCCGATTTTCAGGCGGATTCGCGCATGTATATCTCGTGCAGACCGCCAAACCGGTCTATAATACTACGCATCATGTTCTCAAACGCATCGCCGTTCAGGACGAGGCAATGCTTACCGACGTCAAGAAAGAAGTGGACATCATGGTGCGCGCGACCGTGCGATCCTCATGCGGATGCTCATGATCCACGATTCTCAGCGCATACTGAAAGGGCATCCGAATATTGTCCATCTGATAGACGCTGCTTGGCACAAACTGCCCACCGGGATGTATGAAGTGTTCATTCTCATGGAGTTCTGTGCTGGTGCGTGTTGAGCACAATATGCTGCGACTTACGGTTCCAACACTGCCTGTGCAGGTGGCGGCATAATCGACATGATGAACCGACGCCTACGCGAACGCTTGACCGAGGCTGAAATCCTTGGTATCTTCGTCGACGTACTTGAGGGCGTCGCTGCTATGCACAACCTCAAGCCGCCGCTATTGCATCGCGATCTCAAGGTGGAGAATATCTTGCAGGCCTCCCCAACATCGTTCAAACTATGTGATTTTGGCTCTGCGACATCTGTCGGGCGCGTACCAACCTCCGTAGCCGAGATTCGCGCCCTCGAGGCAGACCTAAATCGCCATACAACCCTGCAGTACCGCGCGCCTGAAATGGTCGATCTATACCTGCACAGACCTGTCG